TGTTACTTGATAAATTGTTGGGTATCAGCATTTTTCTTGTACATCTTTAAGACGCTCAGTTTGCTTAGGACTTTTAGAGAAAAAAAAGATCAGATTTTTTGCTCTTTTAATTAGTCATGTCACAGGCTTAAGACCTTTTAGAACACTTAATTGAAGTGTATATGCCAAACAAGCTAACCACATAACATCATCTAATAAACTAACTGCTTTCTTAATATTTATACCATTGTCCGTTATGATATAAAAAATTCTTCCAATTAGATCTCATTCAGTAATAATTTGATTAAGTGAATCTTTAATATTTTCAGCAGTATGTGGTGAAGGAAGTGGTTGGATCGTTAATAAAGCTTCATTTAATACAAAGGTTGAATCAACTCAAGTTGCTGTTACTCCAATATATTCTTTATTAGTTCTTGAACTTCATAAGTCTGTCATTAAATTGATAAAACTACCATCTGTATTTACATGCCAAATAATTGATTGCGACTCTAATCATAAGCTTGATGAATTTTTTTTTTGTATTTATCTCACAAAGAATCTGAAATTTAGATTCTATATTATTTAAAAAATGATGAAAGGCATTACAACGTAAAATATTTAAAGGCTGGCAGTTCTCAAGAATAAATTCGATCAACCCTCTTGTTAGTTTTTCTTGATAGTTTTTGGTGATAATATGCATTGCCTTGACAATCAGGCTACTAGTATTTGCTTCATTAGAATATTCTTTATCTATTCGGTGCTTGGACCAAAGATAACCAAGCATATTTCCTGTTGATGAATCATGTGCATATTTGACTGTTATATTTTTTTCTTTACAGAGTTGGCATATATCAACAAACCTTTCTTCTGTTTTTTCTATTTTAAAATAATCCTATGCAATACTATAATTGCTTCTTTTTCACTTTTTGGTTTTCCTTTTTTGAGTAATTCTTTATCTTGAGATAGTTTCTCATCTCTAGGAGATTCATTATCTATATGCAATTCTTCATCTCTAAGTGATTCTTCATAATCTAAAGAGTGCGCATCGTGTGCATCATCATCAAATATGTAATCAGACATAAGGCAAACCAGACTTATTCACTATATATCCTTTCTATTACTGTAAGTTGAGATATTTTAATACTACAATTATAATATACCACTAAAAATTATCATTTGAATTTTAAAATAACTGTACCTGTAACTATAATTCCCTATTAATACACACTCTTGGGATTCATTTTGCAATAGTGATGGTAAACAATAATTAGTAGATAACAGGAAATAGTCTAGTAGCTACTTGTAGAAGACTAGAAAACTACTAGTGGTTGTGATTTGTGGGTGACTAGAAAACTACTTGTGATTTGTGGCGACTGGTAGAAGTATAGTTGTAATACGTGATTGTGAATTGGGGGCAAATGATGAGTGACAGCTAGTGTAGAATGGTTGGTGGACTAATAACTAGCAATAACAGCTAGTAAATAATGACCAGAGCAAAATTTTTATAATAGCATGTAAGAATAAAATATACTTGTTATGTTCTTAACAAATAGTGAAAATAGTATATACCGATAAAAAAAAAAGATCACCTTTTTATACTCTTTTTTTATATTAATGAATCATACAATTAGCACAATTACTTTTGCATTATTCATTATCTCTAT